ACATCATAAGAAATAAACCATCTAACTCCATTAATGAATTTCAAATTTGAAGTTCCTCAAATATCATTGTGTATGATAGAAAAATGATGTGTTTGTTTGTACTGCCATAGAGAATGAACATGATTATATTTAGTTAACTGACATATTTTACAATAATCAAATTTTGGTATTTTATTAAAAAAGAGATGGGGGTATAATTTTACAACATAATAAAATTAGAAAGACCCAGATGACAATGTCATAGTAAAACTTGACTTTCAACATCATCAGACAAAACTGACACGAGAGAATATAGGACGGGGATGGTGCAGAAGACTCTTGTGTGTTAAAAGAATATCCTTGAATATATATAAATCTTGATACAAATCAACATTATCAATTACCTTCCCTAAATCCACCACTTGAAATTCACAAGAGATATAATGAAATTTAACAACACAATTCAAGTCATAAGTAAGTTTGCTAAAAGAAAGTAAGTTGTAATCTAATTAGAGAATATATAACATATAAAAAAGCTGAATATCTTTGGGGATTTTCACTTCTCCATTCCCAATAATCCAAAAGTGAGATTCATCTGCAAGTTTAAAAAATTTGGACATGCTAAAATCTTAGTGGTTGGTGAGAGCATGAATGGTCTCTAATCATGTGATCAAATGCACCTGAGTCAATTATTCGAGGCCGAAATCTCGCATCGTTATCGAGATAGCAAAAGGATATGATACCTTGGTGTATCACCAAACAAGTAGGCCGCTCCACTGTGCTAGAAAGAAGTTAGGCCAATCCTTCAGGAGTAGCAACATGGGCTTTGTTGTGTTGGTCCTTCCTCCATCGTCCAGGTTTCCAATCTGTAATTTTCCATGCAGTTTCCAACACTTGTCTTATGCATAATCAAGTTTCTTGTAATGTACACACAAGGGATGATTCTTCTTTGGCTTTGATTCATGGGGAGAGTTTTGTGTGTACAAGGCAAAGCTTTCACTACTAGATGAATCCACATTTCCTGTCATCATGAGCTTCTTCATAATTTCTTCTCTTTTAACTTCAACAAAGGCTTTCCTATTGGTGGATTCATCTGCATGGTTCTTCCTCTGACCTCATCTAAGTTTTTATTTAGACATAATAAACACTAATATGTCATACAAAATTATTATTGTATAAATACATTCATTAACAATTATAAAATACAATACATGACTTAAAAGTTTATATAAAAAAAATGGGGTACAATGCAAAACTTGAAAAACAAATATTGGAAGTAAAACTGCAAATTAAATTTTCGAACAATTTCTAATAGTTTGTTGCAATAATTAAAAACTTAATAATTAAAAAAAAACTTAGAAAATTTTACTTCAACACTGTTATTGCCGGGTTTCAAGCCCAAGATGTGAAAAGTGGGGGTTGCGTTAGGCAGTCGACAACTAACGTAAAATTTGTCGAAAAATCATGACATGAATTCTTTTTTATCATTGTGTAAATGCTAGGGCATCTCCTGACGTTGTATGTCTTGAATATAGTGAAAAGTGTGCAAGGGTCGTTGTACCGGCGCCCGTGTGTAATGTCAAATAAGCAAATGTTCTCATATTACAGACGAATGCGGGTAAAGAAGTTAGTTCATGCAATTAAAATTAGTATAGGATCTTGGAATATAGGTATTCTTACTGGTAAATTATGAAATTATTTTATATTATGATTCATAGAAAGAAAAATATCCGATAAGAAACTAAATGGGTTCGAAAAAAGGCGAAGGAAATTGATAACTTGTGTTTTAATTTTTGGTATTCAGGTAAGAGACACACTAGAAATGATGTAGGTGTAATTATGTATAAGAGTTTGAAAGATAATGTTGTAAAAAATAATAGAATTGGAGACAGAATTATAACCCTTAAGATTGTTATTTATACTAAGATTTTTAATATTATAAGTGTTTATGCTCCTCGAGTAGGTTTAGATATATGTTCTAAGGAAAAATTATGGAATGACTTATAAGACTTAATACAAATGATACTTCTTAATGAAAGAATTTTTATTGGAGGAGATTTAAATGGACATGTAGGTAGAGTGGTAGACGATTTTAGAAATATTCATAGTGGCAATGGTTTTGGAGTGATTAATGAAGAAGGTAAAGTCATACAAGATTTTGCTTTAATTTATGATTTTGTTATTGCTAATACTTTATTCAAGAAAAGAGATGAGCGTGTTTGACACATTACTACTTATAAGAATGGATCTAATAAAACACAAATTGATTATTTTCTTATGAGAATAAGAGATTGTCAAGAATATAAATATTGTAAGGTCATTCCAAGTGAGGATTTAAGTACTCAATATCGATTATTAGTTCTAGATTTTAAGATAAAGTGTTGTAAAATAAAGAATACTAGCAAATCACTGTTATAGAATTAGATGGGGGTATCTAAAATACACAAAATTATTTTTTTTTTTTGTAAAATTCAAGATTTCAAAATTTGGAATGTTCATGAATATGCAAATTCTATGTGGGATAAAGTAACAAACACTATTAAACAAATGACAAAAGGTGTACTTGAATAATCAAAAGAAAAAATTTCTATAATAATAATGTGCAAAATAAGATAAAATATAAGAATTTATATTATAAAAATTGGTTTAAATGTAAAGGCTTAGAGAACTGGGAAAATATCAAACGACCCATAGGTAGTCTAAAAATACAATCTGTGATGCTAAAAATTCTTCTTTTATTAATTTTTATAATAGATTAGGAATCTAAGGAGGGAGTAAAATATATGTATAAACTAGTCAAACAAATAGAAAAGTAAAGATTTAACTCAGGTAAAGTGTATTAAAGTTGAAAATCACAAAATATTTTTTTAGAAAAAAGGTATTCAACATACGGGGGTGAGTTATTTTGAAAAATTTTTTAATGAAGTTTCTGAAAATACGATCGACCTTAATTATCTTAATATCGTTAATAATAATAAAATATTTTAATTTTACCGTTGCATTAGTAAAAAAGAAGTTAATGAGACTTTAAATAAAACCAAGGGTGGAAAGTCTACAGAACTTAATGATAGCCCAATTGAAGTGTGAAAATATATAGGAGATTTGAGAGTTTCTTGCTTACTAAACTCTTTAATATTATTTTAAAAACTAAAAAGATGCCTGAGGAGTGAAAAAAGAATTTTGATCCCCATTTTTAAGAATAAAGGGTATGCACAAGGGTGTGAAAATTATAGAGGAATTAAGTTGATGTGTCAAACTTTAAAATTATGGGAGAGGATAACTGAACATAGGTTAAGACTTGCTACAAAGATTTCTCATAATCAGTTTGGTTTTATGTCGAACAGATCTACTATGGAAAATATACATTTATTGAGAGGTTTGATGGAGAAGTTCAAAGATAATAAGAAAGATCTACATATGATTTTTATTGATTTAGAAAAAGCTTACAAAAGGTTCCAAGAGATATCCTTTGGAGAGTTCTTGAGAAGAAAGATGTTGATATGAATTATATTCAAGTCATTAAAGATAAGTCGTTGTTACTTGTGTTCGAACAGAAGGAGGACTGACCAATTATTTTCCTATTTCTGTTGGATTACATTAAAGGTTGGCTTTAAGCCCATATCTTTTTGCTTTAGTTATAGAAGGTCTTAATGGACATTTACTGGAGGATGTACCTTGGTGTATGCTTTTTGCTGATGATATCCTTCTCGTGGATAAGAAGAGAGAGAAATCTCAAGAAAAACTTGAATAATGGAGATCTAAATTTGAGTCTTAAGGCCTTCATTTGATTAGAACTAAAACTGAATGCAGGAATATAGTTTTAGTAGTAGTAGCTCTAGTGACAAGATTGTAATTATGGGTGATCAAATTCTTAAAAGGTTTGAAAGCTTTAGATATCGCGGATCTATTGTTCAAAGTCATGGTGATATAGATGGGAATGTTATTAGTAGAATTCAAGTTGGTTGGTTGAAGTGGATGAATGCTTCGGGCCTATTATGAGAAAGAAATGTATCGCTTAACTGAAAGGAAAATTTTATAAGATGGTGGTAAGACTTGCAATGCTCTATGACGTTGGATGTTGGACTTTAAAGAGAAGCATAAAACTAAGTGTTGTCGAGATAAGAATGATTAGGTGGAAGAGTGGCTTTACACTTAAGAGACAAAATGCGAGATGAATATATACGTGATATGGTTGGAGCAGATCCAGTGACGGACAAAATTAGAGAGAGTCGTTTTAGATGGTTTGGACACGTTAAACGTGAACCATCTGATGATTTGATTAGGAGAGTAGATGTTTTAGATTCAACTTATGTTAAGAAAGACAGAGGTAGACCTAGGAAGACTTGGGCATATTGTATAAAAGATGATCTTATATGATGATCTTAATTTATTATAATTAAATGAAATATGACACTAAATAGGACGCAATGGAGCAAAAGGATTCATGTAGCCGACCCCAATTAGTTGTTGTTGTTGTTTGGAAGCGTGCCTCAACAAAACAAAACTGATGCCATGCCATTCGCTTCGCTTTGCTCGTGAAGCACGCTTTTAAAAACATTGACATAAATAAAGTCAAAAGTCTGATAAAACAACAAAATCCAACATATAAATAGTTCGTTAATAGCAAATAACCTGATTAGAAAATAGATAAATATGAAAGAAACAAAAATGTAAGAAATATGCTAAAACTAAAACTAGGGTGCATCCTGGGATGAGAGACATCCTGCGATAGCAGCATGTTCCATGAACATGCGAAACTGCGGAAATGCGGGAGCTTGTGCCTGCAGGAGGGATTCCATCCCGTGTCACTTAGCCACCCACCACAACAATTAGGATCCACACTTCCAAAATTAGGTTAGCACCTCCGATAAGTGGAAGCACAAAGCAAAAAATCTACTATTGCACGAGCATATGATTTAATAGTACATGTTCGCAAAAAAATGAGTTTATCAACCATCACTAATTCATCTTTTTCACAACTTCTTGTAAGTTGTTGCAAAATCACTGAATATAACACTTACAACAAGTTCACCAAACCCAGGGTAGGCAGATTCCATTGGTACAATTTCCAGCCGAAAGGCCCATCCACCGTAACCTTCAACAATTGGGGTAACTTGGGTCTGTTAAAGAGCATACAAGGTTAATTAGATTCAAAAAGAAAACACACACACACACACAGAGGCACTATACCAGGAAAAGTTTGTTACCTCAGTGAAGCTAAGAACCTCAAGATATCCTTTATTGTGAAGATTACGAATAAAATCATTCAGCTCTACCAGCCTTGGGGATCCACTTCTAAGTTCTCCAATCTACAGGAACGGAAAAAATATTTACAGCATATATCAAACTTTTTTAAACTAGTGGATTCACAGGATATCCTAGCCTCCAAAATTAGGTGGACAAAATTTCTAACCGACGGTGCTGGACGCAGTATTAGGCCCATACGCCAAGGCATATCTGCAAGTTTGCTACCAAAATGCGGGCAGCTATAAAAGATCTGAAATATAAAAACAAAAAAGATATCAGAATTTAAATGGGCTATAGAAAGAGTTGCTTCAGAGGCATACAATTCCAACAGTGTTATCAAGAAACTTATTGAGCTTATTCAGTTTGGCTTGATACAGCATTTGCTTCACAACTAGGCCTCCCATGCTGCAAATATTCAATCGGTGAACTTAGAACTTATGCATAACGCCTTTAGTTTCAAAAATAAAAGAAGTGCACCAAATACATATGGTTCCAACAAATGTATATCAACACCGCCTCTAAATAAATAGAATCGAAAATCAAATATGAACATAAAAAGGAAAAAAAATTCAAAAAGTAGATGTCCGGGATGCATTTCACAGGACAAGTTTTTACAACTTATAGCTTCCTATGTACCATTTACAAAAATAGCTAAAGGAAAGACTTTCAGATATGAATAAAAAAAGACACCGTTCAATATATTTATGTTGCAGGCGAGAGATAGACAAAACTTTCAAAAGGATCATTCAAGGTGTGAGTTTTGAGTCATGAACTTCTTTCTTGTCCATTTCCAACCTTCCGACAAACACTGCTCTAGAAAAAGCTCATTTCCAGCCACATTCACATTCCTTCCTGTCTGATATGAATAACTCAAATAATTTATGGTGGAACTTCTCAAAAAGAGATTGATGTCTTTTTCATGAGATGGATATAAAAATGAAATAAAAAATAAACTGCTCTTTACTAAAAATTGTGTAAAGCATATAGATTCCCTGTCAAACTCCCTTCATTCAATCATTCAATCAAAATGCTAATTCTCTCGCTCTGATCCACATTCAAAGAAGACCCCTTGATTAGCATATATTGTTATAACTCACCAGTATTTACATAACCTGGACTCTCTTTCAAATGAAGAGAAAACAAAGATTACTCAATGAACTAGTTAATCTCAATATATACGGTCTAAAGTTATGGACATACAAACTAAAATGAGTAAATTGATAAATATGCGAATGAATGCACGTGTCCATGCAATTGTGGACATAATGCAACCTTGAGAAAATAGGGGCACTAAAGTAACTGACAATATAGCTAAAAGACACAAAAGACGTACCTATGAGTCACAAAAACAATAGGACGATCCCCTATCCCCGCAGCGAGAAGCCTATCCAGCAACATGGTGCTAACTTCCTGCAGAGCAGGATGAAACTCAACCACTTATAATTTTCATATATATTCAAACTTAAGGATCAAAATCGGCCAAAGTAAATTTTGGAAAACCACCCTCATTATTAGCCAAGCAATTACAATTGGATGGAACCCATGTGAAATAAAAGATTAACTATCAACTAGCACATGTTTACATCAGTCATCAACTGGTAATTAACTCTTACAAAATCCATGAAAAACTTCCCTAATTCCTAATTTACTTGGCAAGAAGCCACAAAGCTAGAATTAGAAAGTATCCTAGCCTCACCAGCATACTGAGCTAGCCATCATTCTTGAAACTATTTAAAAACTTATGAAAGCAATAAAAGCATCTCATGAATAAACACAAATATAAAAAGCATGGTAGAAAATTGTTACTCTTGATCAACCACAAAACAAGTTCACAAAAACTTCAAATTGCGACATGAAATTATTGAAAAGAAAAAAATTACAAAATTTTATTAACTGGCAAGAAATTTTCAAAGATGGAGAAGAATAATATAGAACAAGACATACTTCGGGGCATAGCAAGGTGGTACTTCTCACCTACCAGTTAGATTAAGTGCGTACTTCTCACCTACCAGCTACATTGATTTTAGTTCTATATTACTGCTTTTTATTAATTTGTACGTTCAATATTAGATCAAATCAAAAGTCCAGATTTACTAATCTGAATCTTGGCCACATGCAGGCTACTACTTGACCTTCTAAGAATTGGAATAATGGTTTAAGAGACGCAACCACCTTTTGCAAAAAAAGTAGAAAGAGAAACTTCACCTCAAAGATATTCCAAAAACGTTATTAGTATTGAGGCTTGTAGATCTTTTTTACTCCTGCAGAGAGCTCAAAAATCCCACTAGTGTATATTTATGGTAAACGGGCTTCCCGCTTGATGACCAGCATAAAGTTTGAAATGGGAAAAGGATTTTCAGGGGAAAGATATATTAATAAACTAGAAAATGCTTTACTTGAAACAACTGTTGAAATGTTAGATGGATTTGAAACAAACAAGAAGAGATTCAAGAGTGTTTCACAATCTAACGATGTCTCTCTTGATGACCAGCATTAGTGTGAAATGAGAAAAAGATGTTCAGGTAAAGATATATTAATAAACTAGAAAATGCTTTACTTGAAACACATGGTGAAATGTTAGATTGAAACAAACAAGAAGAGATTGAAGATGTGTTTAACAATACCATCAAAAGATGTTAATTGTCTAAAAAGAGGACACAAAAGTTTTGTAGTACAAATTGAGGAATGAAGGCATCAATGGCGGAAATCCCTGGCAAGGACATCATTAAATGGTTAAAAACAAATAGTGATAAAGATCAAGGAATAAAAAAATTGAACATCTTTAAATGAAAATAAAAGTAAACTCAAACACAGCAAAAAAATCACAAGAAGAATCTAATATCAATTTAGTGTGTTAATTAAAATCAGTTTTGATATCTAAGAAATTGTGACAATATAGAAGTCGACAATCATGAGACAAAAGGATACGATGCTGATTATTGATATCATTTCCACAATTTAAGAAAACCAATACAATGAAAAAAATAAAAAGAAAAGCTTTTCCTTGAACTCAGAACAATAACAACACGGAATATTTCTTCTTGGAGGCATCAATATTAGATCGACTCGTCAAACTTTCAAACAAAACTCAAAATCAAGATTTCTGTTTTTAAAGACTGGTGACAAATGGATATGATAGGCAGATATTGTGAAAAACAAATAATTTTTTAATTGATTGCAAGATATGATTGGAACATAAAGCTCATGAGTAATTTAGCATCGCAATATTGTTAAGCAAAAAAGAGACATAGATATTACATGAAGGAATCAATGTAGTTTGATTAATCAGAATGTAACTAGGCCAATTGTTTCTAGTGTGACTTATACATTATTTTATAGCCTTTTGTTTGCGGAATCAATGTTTAGATCATATCAACAAGTTTTTTATATTTTAGACTAAATATAAGCTTGCAACAACATTTTTCCTTCAGAAGATGAACGAATGGCATGAAAACTACCTAGGATAGATTCCAACAACCTAATAAGCGAGGAGACAACCCCCTACTTATTTAGACTAACAAATACAACAGCACGGGAACAATAAATCTTTCTAGGACTAATAATTACAACAACAGCAAAAGTCAAAACTTTAGCCCTGCTCCAGAACTGTGATTCCATACGCAAAACTGATCACAAAATCCACAAGAATGATCAAAAAGGATTCTTGTTTTGACCATAAATGAGAACTCACACAACTGAGAAAAGATTTCAGGAGCTCAAAATTTTATGATTGGAGATTGCACAAACCTGGAGAGGCAAGCTAGCTCCCGTCCACTGAGTTAGTTTTGTCTGCATAAATTATTCAGTTAGTTGTAGATGATCATCAATTTGTCCAACCTGGAAAAGACCACAAAAATTGAAACTGCTATAGCTAGGGCTAAGGCAGGCAGAATGTTCCGTGCATGACAATTGAGTTGGAGAAAAATTATAGTTGAGAAGGCAAAGTTTTAAGAACGAACCTTATATCTTAGAGTAAAAAGTCTTGCTTGTGGAAAATCAGCCGACAGCCATTCGCCTGGCCAAAACGTTCCCTCTTTCCCGGCTTCTCTATCTATATGCTCTACCAGTCCCGCTTTACTCGTGGTTGAGACCTTGTCATCTGCCATACGCCAGGACTTAAATGGCCCACCACGTAAACCATGAACAAAAACAACATCGATCAAAGGGGATTCCCCATGTGAAGCTACATCTGCCCGGCTAACACAGCCAGAATTTTCACAACTCTGATTTGAACAATATCCATCTGCATCACCACTTGACGAAGCAGCAGAAAAACTGGATTCCCTTTTATTCGATGGGTCAACCAAAGCATTCATTTTGGAACATTTCCAATGTGAAAGATCAGGACTAATCAAAAAAAGCATATCTTTATATTGAGCACATGCTGATCGGCCCTCCTTAGTTTCTTCTATTAAAGACTGTTTTCCAATAGTCTCAGAGCAAAATATATTCAACAGAGTTGCCCTAGCATAGCTCTGAATTTTTAGATCAGAGCAACAAGGAATCCTCTGACTTGCACAACTCTCAAGCCATTGGCACCACATCTCATCTTGAGCAATGGAACCTTTCACATTTGGGAGAAGAGAGAGGACTGTGAGAAGCTGTGCAGCATGTCTGCGTATGTGTGCAGCAGGGGGAACTCGAACGCTAGAAGAATCATTAGAATCTGAGGCTGGCTGGTCAACAGTAACAGTTGAGGGCCGGTCTTGTGATTCCATGGCTCTTGAAGCATCATATGTTTCATTTGCTGCAAGTTTTTCGTAATCATCTCCCACAAGTAAGCGTTTAAGCAGGCAAAGAATTCCAAAATCTACTAATTTTTTTTGGCATTCAAAATCCTCCGAGCAGAGCTCCGTGAATGTTTTGATACCCTTTAGCGTGGCAAAAGCTAAATCAGCAGCAAAAAGCTTATGTTGATTACGTCCCTTTTGGTTTTTGGATAGTGTGGCAAATGGTTCAAGAGAAAGAAAATCAGCAAGAGGTAGATCTGTAGAAGCAGGTTCAGATTCCCACTTGCACTTTGATTGTCTGATAACACAAGTAGCTAACTGATTCACCACTTGAGCAGCTAAAAGGACATTGGACTGCTCAAATTTACTCTGCAGAGTTCAAACAAAGGCATCATAAAATAATATAAAAAATAAATGATTCAAATATATGAAAGAAAGAATAGAATAAATGCAATGAATACTTTCAGGCAGCTAAATGATGAGAAAATAAAAAAACAAAAAACAAAAAACTGTTAACTTAACAAATACCAATTAATGTAATTATATTTAAAAATTTAGATTGCTACATGCTTAGTTAAATTTTAAATATCATTAAGCGGTTACAACTTTAAATGCCAAAACAAATGGTTGACAAACCGACTCTCTTTGAAAGCAATGAAAAACATCCAAGGGAGTTTCTTAAATTTAAACAGACAAATTTTATGGAGCAAAGCATCAAGAATGGTGAAGATCTAAGCATATAGAACATTAGAAAACTAAATCCCCTGTATTGAGATTAGGGCCGCAAATGAACCAAATGTTTGGCAAACTACTAGAGGGTCAGCTCAACAAGAGCTCATGTATGTTTGTTTATTTAACTAATAGAAGAAGTTGGAACACTTCCATAAATACTCAGTTATTAACTAAACAAGCTTTATTAACTTGTTGCTAAACTCATTTATGATCATAAAAAATATTGTTTAAAGGTCATGAACAAGTCGTTAAAATCTCAATTAAAGCTCGATATAAAGCTTGATTATGGCTCGTTTATAATCATTTGAATTCAACCTTTTATTTAGTCATTTAGTTCCATATTGCTAGAATGTTGAAGTGGTGTTATTTATAAGCTGTAACAAATTAATTTGAATGTGGAACTTGTAACCCAAGTGGCCTCGCAGGAGGCTATTTGAAGCCACATTTTACGAAAGTTTAATGAACTTCTAAAATTTCTAAAGCTTGCAAAATTTTTTTATCTTTTAAAGCTAAAAAAAGATTGTTTCATTAAGGCTTAATAAGCTCGACTTGATAAGGTTGTTTATGTTTCCAAACAAACTACTCGTTTAAAGCTCGTTAATTTGAATCAAGCTCGAGCCAAGATTACACGAACAAAAATAAATTTAAACGAAGAATCAAGATTGAAAACTATAAAAAATTCTTAAATTGAGCTTAAACATAATTTTGATATACCAATTCATAGCATTATTTAGTGACAATAAGAAAAGAAATACTAAAATGGCCTATGTCAAATTGGAATTAGAATCAAATTTTGTTAACATATCAGCTAGAAGTAAAATTCAATATTAAAGTCAACTAAGAGATCATCAAATGGAGGATATTTTAAAATTTTGTAAATTAAGTGGTAAAATTATTGAATGAAAAAAAAATCAAATGAGTGAAGATATAAGTTGGGGTTAAGAGGCCACGTGAAAATTTGGACCAATCAATTTCACTCGCATGAACTTGAACTTTAATAAAATTGTAATAACAAATCTATTCACTCAAATGTTAATGTGAGTAAGAGATAAGAAGATAATTTTCAGCTGAATAACCAATATAAACTTGTATAAATAAAGAACAACAAAGTTTATGAACATAAAAGATGTAAAATCTATGATGCAGATGCTGAAATATCAAGTAATAAACATGAATAATTTCTTTAAATGACAAATAACGTCGTGTGATCTCAAGAAAGATTTGCAAAATGAAAAATTAACCACATATGCCAAACCATACTACCATAAATATATGGACAATTAAATGAAAGGGTTTAGTAAAGAACCTACAATTACATGGACTGAAATGAAGGAACTAATTAAAGATCTTATTTCTTTATCACATCATGACCCATTATTTTATAAGACATCATTAGACAAATTGTCAAATAAAACATGTTGAACTCAAAAAAAGTTATGGCATCTTTAAGAAATGATTTAGCAAAAAGAGTGCGGGTCCTTATGTCGTCTTACTTTACTTGCAATTAAATAAATGATAGTTAGCACATATTCGTGGATACTCCAACAATTAATAAAATCATCATCAAATATCAATTTTCTATACCCTGGTTGGATAATATGTTAGACATACCGACCAATGTTCTCATTTTTTAATCAATTTAAGTGGTTATCTTCAAGTGAGAATTTGAGAAGGAGTTGAATGAACTTTGCTTTTAAAACAAAATATTTATTATCTTAATGCTAGTAATGTTTTTCAAATTAACTAATACATCTAGTACTTTTATGATGATTATAAATTATATTAGGTAACCTTTCATTAAAAAAATTATTATTGTATACTTTGATGATATTTGATATATAAAAAAATAAGAATATGATTTGGCGTACCCTCAAAAATAGGGGTGTAAACGAACCAAACACGAGCGAACAGAGCTCATGTTCATGTTCAGTTCGTTTGAAATTAAGTGTGTTTGAAATAGGCTTGTGTTTGAAATTGTTCGTGAAGTTATTGTTTGTGTTCGGTCTAATTTGTTTGAAATATGTTTGAAATGTTTGAATTATTTGAATTGTTCGAATTGTTTGAATTGTTCGAAATCTTACAAATTTTTTTGTATTATTCGAATTGTTTGAAATCATTCAAAATCTTAAACCTGTATGAAATTAATGTTTAAACATATATTAATCACAACACAAATGCACAATAGCTGAAACACAGCTCATAATAAAATCATAATATCAGATCTCATCAATAAAAAATTCAGATATAGAGGCAATATGCACATTTCACTCCCAAAAACTTCAAAAACTAGGTTTCACTCAAAGAAACTAAATAAATCTAAAAGAAATATAAGAAAATTTAAGCTAAGAGACAAAACTTAAGATAAATATGGAATTATAGGATTTAATATAAGCTAAGAGGTGAACCTGAAGATCAGATGATAATTTATAGAATTTAATTTTTTTAAATATAATAAATTTTTAGAGTATATAATTATTTTTAAAATATGATAAATTTTTTATACATAATTATATAAACTATTTTATATTTCGAAAAATAACGATTCGAACACGATCGAACAAATGAATGTTAGTGTTTGGTTCGTTTATAAATCAAATGAAAAGAAATTGTTCGTGTTCATCTCGTTTGCTTTTCGAATGAATAGAACACGAACTCCTTGATGAGCCGAACACGAACTGTTCGCGGGCAACGAGCTTGTTTGACAACCCTACTCAAAAAATCTTTGAAGTGTAAAAAAAATATATCTAAATCTTAAGAAAATTTTTGTGATGTCATATGTTCTTTTGGGAATTGTTGAATATAGTGATAGATTATCTAATGACAAAAAAAAGGACCGAGGCAATTAATAATTGGACAACAGGGTATTCTGCATGACAATTAAAATCATCATGGTCCAAATATTTTCTAAAGATGATTCATCAAGGGATTCAATATTACGATGACACAAATTATAAAATATCCTAAAAATAGGAATTTAAATGAAAAAGTTCTATTGATCATACTTTGAAAGAAAATGAGACCCTTAGAAATGCACCATGGTTAGATTGTTAAATTTTAACAAGTTTTTTGTATTGCATCGAATTTAAGTACTTAGAGAGTTTTGAGGTACATTTTATTACTTTCTTAATGAGAAATTGAATAATCTAAGCGAAAGTAGTTAGAGATATGTAAGCTCTTTGCTAATTGAGATATTACTTGTTATCTAAGAAATTTAGCCTTTATTCCAAACATCAAACCTTAAAAAATTTAAATTCATAAAAGAATTAAGTATAAAAGGCTAAATGAGTAGGAGTTTTGAAAAAGTATGTTGAATTTATTAAAATAAAATTAAAGAGAGAAGCAAAAAAAAATGGTGAAGTGTTATTGTTAAAACAATTTTTAAATGGGACAATAAAACATAAACTTAAAAGAGTAATATTCACCATAATCATCATACATTGATTACAAAGTTCAATAGCGCCGAGAATTTTTTAACATCAAAGAAGGTAATTATATTGTGTTGGAATATTTTCTCGAGTTTAGAAGTATTGTAACCAAATATTACCAATCAAGAGTTTATTTTTTTTCAATAAATATATTACTAAAGACCTAGGTAAGAAATTAAGTATGGATTAAACTATAATTCAAAAAAATTTATATAAGGCTTACTATATAGCTTTAAAGTATGAGGAAATAATACAATTAACTTAATATTAAAATAACAAAATCTTTTATTATTATTTTCAAAAAAAGTTACTAACTTCTCAGTTCTCACCTAAAACCTACTAAATGCACATCAAATACTAGGATTATATATGATCAAATTTAATCATGTTGAAGAAATTATGATTCAAATATATTCATAAATAAAAAAATATATGTAAGAAAATGCAATTACAATATGATCATACATCCAATTTTAATAACTTAGAATTTGCATCATAGCCTACATAGTATAATATGTTCAACCTGAATTTTAAATTAAATATAGTCATTTGATTATATTTGAACATAAATCTGAATAAAAACAAGAATCTCTCTTCACTTTAAAATTGAACAGAACATAAAATTAAAAATCAATAAAAAAAATTGATCCATCTAATAATATAGCTCCTGATGATTAATCTACCAAAATTATAACTATATCTACAAATCAAACTAATATCAATTTTATTTTTGGCACTTTGTTTTTTTTTTTACTTAAACTTCATAAATAAAAATTTCTAGAAAAGATAAATTGCATCAATATTTCAATTTTATTAAAGACAATTGCCTTCAATGAAATTTCAATTTTTTTTAAGATGTTTTACATACATAACTTATTTGTGTGCTCTACCTGTTATCAATAATATATATATATATATGTGTGTGTGTGTGTGTGTGTGTGTGTGTTTAAGTTTCTTTAGTACTACCCTAGGAACAAGTTATATAATGTATCCATTATGAAATATAAAATATTTTATTATTACCTTTGTAAATACCATATTCTATTGTATTATACATTACTCAAACACATGTTGTACATCAGAATAATTACAAGAAGTTTATCAGTAAGACTATTGAAGATAATTTTTGATACATAAAATTCAAACCCGATGTAAAGTAATAACACGTTTAAACTCTAAACATTTCCCAACTAGAACCTTTAAGAAATTAAT